ACCTGGGAGTCTATGGGGTCGGGGAGAGTCCTAGCTTCCCCTCGCCGGGCCCCCTCGCCGGGCCCGATTCAACTCACCACTCCGAAGGCCCTCTGGATGGAAGCTGGGATCTCAACCTCTACTAAAATTTTGATAAGAAAATGGGAAGTCACTTGTGGTGAAGTAAAAGACAGTGGTAAGGGACAGACATCCAATGCCTATGATGTTGCTTCCCCTTCCTAAGAAAGCTTAGTAAGATGCATAGTTAGTAAAAATACCCCAGGATAAAGTAGAAAAAAGACAAGATATTTCCCCAAGGATGTTAAAATTGGAAAAACTGGGCAAATGCCCAGCCTTCTTCACTTATCCTTTTTGGCACTGGTGTAGCAGAGTATCTTCCATTAAACATGCCATGCCCAGAATAAAAAAGTTTTAACCCTTTCTTTGATCAAGTTCCAACAAATACTTTGAAAGGAGAGAAAACACTAAAAATACTGAAATGTTTTGACCTATTAACCTTATTTTCATTCTCATAATCGTGGTAATTTTCTTAGCATCACTCTTTTGAACATAGCATTCAAAGAGCTATTTGAGTAAGTTTCTCTGTCCCTCTTCTTCTCCATTTCTCTCTGATTCATGTTCTCTCTATATATCTATATCTATATTTATGTATCTATAGCTATAGAGAAATATATATGGAGTGAAGCCCTGTGTGTCACTCACATAATTTTGCTCTGTATTAGCACAAGCTTCAAAGATAAAATCAATTCTAAGGGCTTGCATTCTGTGTAAATTAGTTTTATGGCACTCAGATGCATGTTCACGCCTCATTTAAAAAGAGATTAGTAGCCCATGTATATTTGATGAAGATAACATGAATTTCAGACCATACGTTCTCATTCTTCATTCTCTATTCTGCTTCATTGTCCCATTTCCTTCAATGAGAGCTTTAAATTTGCAAGAGAGATTCTAAACACGTGTTCTTTATCCAATGCAGTATTCCATCTTGAAAGATGCCAGTGTTGAAACGGTTCTGCAACCCACAGATTTCTCTAATGTTAATACCACAAATACATGTGCACAATATATAAGATCCAAAGTTTTCGTTTCTATTTGTTGTTTACTAATTTCTTGAATAAAGTTATACTGATTTTAACCATTGTTGAACCTTGTTAAATCTCTGCTTCTTTAGATAATGTTAGTGAGTATAATCTTGGAAGAAAAGCATATTTCATTACTTCAGAAAACAATACTCATTGAATCTGGCATTTCAATATCAACTGAGTTGGGGAAATTAAGGATTACTGTGGTAGTTTGATCTACAGTTGCTCTCCATAGGCTCTTGTACTCAAACAATTGGTCCTGGTTTGTGATGCTATTTGAAGAGAGAATGGAATATTTAAGAAGTGGAGCCTTGCTGGAGGATGTCTGTCTCTCAACTTCCTGTTATGGCATTCTTTTGTCAGGTGTCCTCCAAAATGATGAATTCTCCCTCTGGAAACAGAAACTAAAATAAGCATTTCTTCCCTAAGTCACTTCTCATCAGGGTGTTTTGTCAGCTACAAAATGTAAACCAGAATAACAGTTATGCAGAGTTGAAGCTTCATCAATGGGAAACACTCACAGAGTTCTTACTCAAAGGGAGTCGTGTACCCCTACATCATCACACCACTCTTTCCCAAGTCTCTGATCTTGGTGTTGCAAATAAAACCCTGAGCATCCTAGTATTTAACATTTAGGGTATAAATCCTTGTGCCAATCCACAATATGACTCAAATTTTTAAAAAAAATGAAAGACATCAGTTGGTAAGTTTAAATGTTGCTTTGTATGGAAAACAATACCAAAATGATTATATTGTAATTCATATGTTATCTTTAATGGAATTTGAGATTTCCCAGATTCCAATTTTCACACAAACACCAATAAATACAGGCATAATAAACTTGTCGTGCTGTTCTGAAGTTTATACGCTCCTGAGACAGTTGGGGGAAAGCAGTATGATCTAACTGATAGAAAATGCACTGATAGAAAATGCCTTGGCTTGGCTGGTAAACTGGATGTTCATTGTGAAGCTGAGGGAAATGATTTGATTGGGTTCAGAAGAAAGCTTCTATCCTGATGTCCTCTGCAATTCTGCTTTAACACGATCCTTGGTTAGAACTCCAGACTTCATTTAATTCATCAAACTCCTACGTTTCACCTCAAACAATACTAAGAGAGAGATAGGACAAAACGTAGAGAATATTACATATTTATTAAATGTTCACAAAATAAATTACTTTAACATGTCTGTATTTGAAATTTATATTTATTTTTAACACAGTAAATCTTGCAACTGTTAATATCTTATTACTTTATTGATCTTATACTAGAAGAAAATCAAGAACACATTTCATAACACATAGGAAATTCTACCAATATTGTAATTACAGTTTTCTTAATACTTTAATTCATAAGAACAATAAACAACAGCTAATAATTAGATGGCATTAGTAATATAATTATTGGTACTTCAGAAGTCATGTTGTACATGATTACAACGTTTAACCAACAAACTTGTCTTGTCAACCTATACACCATTATCATCCCAGAAGAACCAGAGACTGGGAGGTATGCTTCTATCAGGCTGTGTATATGAACAGTATAATTACTGAGGAATATAAGTTAAATATAACTAATCATGCAGCTTGTATGTGAGCAACTTTTCAATGTATGATTAAAATAAAGAAGATAGGTCACATTCAAAGACAGCTAGCTTGATCAGCCCTCCAACTCAGATAGAATAAGAACAAGAAGCCTAAAGTGACATCTACTTAGATGTATAGAAATCTGATCTGCATTACCAGTTACAATAGTAAATAATTGAATATTTTAAGTTCATTGGTGGTTTTTCTATGCATAAAGATGAAATTTGGGGGTTTGGAAAATAGCGTTTACATGTTGGTACTTCACTTGCCAAGGACCTGAGTTTGATTATGAGAAACAATATAAAGTGGATCACAATCTTCTGTGACTCCAACTCCAAGAATATCCAGTGCCTCTGGCCTTCTTGGGCAGCTGTACTCATGTGTTCATACACAGACACATTTACAAATGTGTAATTAAAAACAGTAAAAATAATTTTTAAGTATATAATCATGCTCTATCACTCCTTATGAATAACCAATGACAAAATTAATTGAAAATTGCTTCATTGTTAATGTAATTAATTTGAAGGATAGTCTATATTTATTTGAAAGAACTTTATCAGGAACTATTGCTTTGTAAACTTTTTAATTATTAGTTTTCTTTCCTATCTATAGGATGCTGTTCAGTAACGGTTTATGTTGAATGATTTTTCATAGTCTGTCACTAAACACATTCAAGCACAGTAGGTTTAGTTCATTGCCTGTCCTGGACCATGTCTCATAATTTAATTTGTATTGGTCTATCCATAAATTTGAAGATAAATTTGTGCATAAAATTGTTTTGTCTGCATATTATCAATTCATCTTTATTTCTGAATATCATAAATTCCAATTAGGATACTTTAAAACTATTCTTTTGCATGCATTTAACAAATCCAACAGAAAACAGGTATCCAGTTTACCTGCATTGTAACTATGAAGTTTTAACTGAAGAACCAATGAACATTTAAATTCAATGGTACATGTGAGAACAGAAACCTTCGAGACGCTAGTCTGACGGCATCCTATCACTTGTGTTACGTGTTGATGTAACACTACTACTGACCCTGAAAGCACAGGCAAATAGAGACACAGGGCTCTCTCTAGAAAGCAAGCGGAAAGGATTATATCTCATCATCATCGTCACTACCGAGGGCAAAGCTGCTGTCTGTGGACTGAGACCCATCTTCCTTCACATTCCCCACAGCCCCTCTCTCATCAGAATCATCAAACAACTTTTCATTAAGCCCTTCTTCCTCAACAAAAAACTTCTTACTGGAAGTATCATCAAATAGCTTGTCATTGGTATCTTCATCTGCCTTTACATCCGTATCTTGTTCCTCTTCCTTTTCATCGGGGTCATTGAAGAGTTTCTCATCTGCGTCATCTTCTTCTCCTTTGCCATCAGCATCTCCACACTTCTTTTTGTCTGCTTCTATGTCATCGTCATTCTCGTCAGACTCATTCTCAAAAACCCTTTCAAATACGACTGCTTCCTCTCTGTCTTCCTCCTCCTTGTCATCCAAGGCTTCATCAAACTCTCTCTCAGAGCCTTGCTCGCCTACCACTCTCTCAAAGCCTTCTTCAAATTCTGATTTGGCTCTGTCGTTTTCTTCTGATTCTTTCTCAACATTTTCAGGGAACTCCTTATTGGAGGCATCCTGGTCGAAAGCATTTTTAACACCATTTTCTTCGAAGTCTTCATCAGAGCCATCTTCAGACTGCTTCTCTGAGCAGAATTCCTCAGATGCTGAGCCATCATCTTCTGACTCTTTCTGGAGGCTGTCTGCCCCTTCAGTCCCTTTGCTGTGGTCACTGTCTTCAGACCCTTTGGCAAGACCATTCTTTTCATAATTACCTTTGCCTTTCTTCTTAGATACTCTTTCAGGACCACACTCTTGAGACTCCTTTTTAGGATTACCCTCTTCCAGCTCGCTCTCAGGGAGGTCTTCTCCACTCTCTCTCTTGGCGCAGCCCTCTTCACTCTCTCTCTCAGGGTCTTCAGCATCAGACCTACCTTCTTTAGCATCTTTTTCAGAAGCATTTCCTTCAAATTCTTTTCCATCTTCTGCCTTTTCAAACTTATTTTCATTGATAGATTCTTCAAAAGCCATTCCAGTTATAGCTTCCTGAGCGCCCGTGTTAGACATGTTCAGGTGCTCTGAAATATGCCTTCCTGTGGAAGGCCCTGCCTTTTCTGAAGCACAGATAGAATCCATGCGCTGGAGGCCTCTGTTGGCCTCAGGGGCACTTAGGAATGTCTCCCAGCCTCTCAGCCTTTCCTCTCTCTCTCTTGATGTCTCCTGTACCTGGTAATCTGTAGTTCCATCCCAGGCTTGAGCAGTGATTTGACGGCCACCAAACCACCTTCCATCAAGAGTCTGAATACAATAATCAGCCTCCTCTGGTTCCCTGAAGGACACAGAGGCCACACCATCTGGGTGCCTATCAAACAGAAGGAGCTTCCTAATCTGTCCAAACTTGGAACATTCTACTCGAAGGTCTTCTCTGATCTCATTCAGCACCAGTGGATCATCCTCAAAATCCGTGGGGTGAAACATATTTCTGATGATGACAACTCGTTCTTGTCGCATCCGGCATGATCCAGCTCTCCTCTCAGGTCTCCAATCCAGCTGCTTCTGTTGCAGAGACAGTTTCTTCTTATAATCTTTACACTTCTTCTTCTTCTTTGAGGCATCGTACTCACCCTTCAGCTGGAACTTTGCCACCTCGACATGCAATTTGTAGCCTCTAATTTCATCTTCATCCAAAAGTTTTAGTGCAAGTTCCACAGATTCTTTCTTTAGATAGCAGCAAAGCCCATCTCCTTTAAGATTTCCTTGATTATCTCTGTAAAGCTTGACCTTAAATTCTTCTGTCTGAGGATCTCTCATAATAATGCCAAATTTGGACATAAGCTGTATGAATTCATCCACTGTGATGTCTGGAGGCAGACCTGACACATATACATTTGTATTTCTGTCTTCTTCAACCTGGAACCATCCTGAATCGGCCTTTCTCTTTTCACCCCTCTTTTTGGAGTCAGTGGCTTCTGGGATTTCTCTTTGCAGTTCTTCTACAGTCTTCATGTTGGTGTCCTGGACATTTGCAGTAGAACTAGATACACAGTTATTAGAAAAGCCGTAATTTGCCTGATACGTAGCAATAAAATCTTCGGTGATCTTAGGAAACCAAGCCTTCTTATCAAGGTCCCATTCGTAGGGAGTGTCATCAGGCAGTTGTCCCAAAGAATCCGTTTCTCCAGAGTCATTCTGGGTGTCATCGTTTTTGGGGTCTCCGTACAATTCTTGCATTCGTAACTGCTCATCAAACTCGTCCTTCCCGCTTAAGTTGTTGCCACTCATGTTTCTGACCTGGTTCCAGGGACACTGCTCAGAGAGGTGAAGAGGCCACGACGACGCTTCTCCGTGGGTCCTTGACCCCAAGGCTTGGCCAGGACAAAGCGGAAGCACGCAGGCGCACCATCACGTCATCACAGCCACCGGCTCAGAATGAAGTGTCGCCCTCCCCCACCCCAGGCTGATGCAGTCGTCATTGTCCACGCGTGGCAACGTAGTCGGTCCATAAAATTGTTTTCAATAAACACATAGAGCTTAATTTGTATTGATTTCAGTTTTTCGGTGATTCCAAAACAAAAGAATAGACTAGTAACAATAAAATACAGAATCATTGTGTTTTGTAGGTTCCATTCTTATTTTTATCACAAACAAATATTTATTGGAAAACAGTATACTAACTTTTATGTCTCTAGTCTTAACTTCTAAATTATTATCAAGATATAATCACAAATTCTTTCCAATGATACTTAAAGTCTAATGTCTCTGAAAAGAGAAGTTAAATTAATAAAGGTGTCTGAGAGTGTTTGTCCATGGAGGATGAAAGTAATGATTTTTTTTTGTAAAAGGAAATATGTTTAACCTTGATTTTACAGCTATATTTAGATAATATATTTTATTAATAACGTTAAAAGATTATATCTCTAAGTATATAGAGTTTGACATAAAAATGTCTTCTTTTTATAGCTGTGACATTTACAACTCCTACAATTCAAAGTTGTCTGGTCATGGAATTGATCTGAATCAATTGCCTATTTTATAAACAGGAATGTGGAAATTTAAGATGAAGGTTCTTATTTGAAAGATGAATTATTTCATAACAGCATATTTATATAATAATTTAAAAATACCTATTAATTTCTTTATTTTAGAATTGAAGAAGGGTGTTAGAGATAATGTATAGGCAAAATAAATAAGTTCTTTCTCATCGTGGAGCTTTAGGCAAACTGATGGTGAGTGATGCTTTCTAACCAAACACATAGTAATATTATTACAAAATATTAGTTGTCTGGATATATGAACAGGGAGTTGGTAAAAATCTGTCGATATGTGACTTAATCTAGCCAGTGAGACCACGAAAATCTTTAAAGAAACATTTAACTATGAACTGAGATTCAACATGAAGAAAGAGGAGGAGAAGGATAAGGAGATATTGAGTTACTGATTCTACTGTTCACTGTTTCTGCACATTTTGGCATACGGAACGTAGGACATTAAACAAAAGCACTGATGCATACTTAAAAGGCACCCTCGTTCTCTCCCTTCCTTCTTTATCTATTATCCATCCATCAAAAGACATTGAAAATTGATAATTGTATCAAATACTGACAAGGACACAGAGAAGCTCAATATTTAATGCATTGCTGTTTGGAATGAAATGCTGAGTGATACATCTAGCCTGGGAAAAACTGCTCGAGTTCAATCTAAGTTGCATGAAACAGAATATTCAGGGAGCTGCATGTTCACACTGGCTTTATTTGCAATACCTCCAAATCCAAAACAGTACAGGTGTCATTAAGCAGGTGAAGGTGTCATATATGCATGACAACAGGATGGAACAACTATTTAAAATAGGAATTTGATTAGGACTCAAGAAATTTATGTGAGTAAAAACAAAATAAATTATTGGCATTAAAAGCAATATTCCTATCTTTTAAATTTTAGCTTGTACAACTTTTTCAAATAAGAAAATCGAGTTCCTTGGATTAATGGCTGGGAAAATAAAGATATTGTCTCATTTGCTGTACTGCTGTTGTGATATAACAATGACCAAAGAGCAGCTGGAAGGAGGACAGGGTTATTTGACTTACACTTCCATTCCAGGTAGCAATCCATCTCTGTGGGAATTCAGGGAAGGAACTTAAATGGGAATTTAAATAAAAACTGTGATTGGTTTCTGTCTATTGGCTTGCTCTCAGGCACATTTGGCAAGCTTTCTATACAGCCCAGGATACTCTGCCCCAGAATGTGTCACATAAGTAAGCTAGGCCCTCACACATCAATCAATAATAAGGCAGATGCCACACAGACATACTCACAGTCAAATCAACTCAGGGAATTCCTTATTTGAAATTCCCTCTCCCAAGATGTGTCATGTTGAAAATCAAGAATAGCTACTAGAGTATCTTAGTGGAGTCTGGAACATGGGTTTTGCCTAAAGGTTACGGATCAACAACAATAAGGTGCACAATCCTTTAAACAAGGCAGAAGATAACTAAAGAGTCACCACTGAACAAAACTGCATGAATTGAAGCAACAAAATAAAGTTCTGTATTATAATGAAGAAGAAAATGAATATCAATACACTCATACTTAATGAAAAATTAAGTAACCCAGTAAAAGGTCAATGAGGAAGCATCTTAGGATTTTTATAACTGTGAAGAGACATCATAACCATAGCAACTCTTCTAAAAGAAAATATTCAAGTGAAATGACTTACAGTTCAGAGCTTTAGTTTATTATCATCATGATGGGATATCTTGCCATACAGGCAGACTTGGTGCTAGAGAAAGAGCTAATAATGTTTTTATGTTTCCCTTTCTAAGAGTTACTATGGTCATGACGACCTTTCACAGATAGAAACTCGAACTAAGAAGTTGGTACCAAGGACTAGGGTATTGCTGTGATAGGTGGGACCATGTTTTTGTTTGAAATAGTATCGACTTTGGGCATTTGGATTAGGAAAGCAGTGAAATGCTTTAAGTGCTGCGTCATGGGCCATAGTAGTAGAAGCATGGAAGACAGAGGTGTTAAGAGTTATTTGAACTGTGGGGATTTGGCTCAAGAGGTTTCAGAGGAAAAGAATATTAATATGTAGCCTAGAAATTGTTTTTGTGATATTTCGGTGAAAAACATGGCTGTTTTCTGTCCTTGTCCTAAGAGTCTGCCTGAGGCTAAAGTGGAGAGATTTAGATTAATTCTGTTGTCAGTGAAAATCTCAAAACAGCCCAGTATTGACTTTGTTGTGTGATTATTACTGATCATTCTTGTACAGATTTATAATGAAAAGGAGCAAGTTGACCAAGGAAAAATAAAAAATGTAAAATTTGAGGCAAGAAAGAACTCCAAGAAATGGAATGTAGCTAAGTCTTGTGTTCAAGGAGATAAACAGACTAAGAAATGGAGTGAAGGAAGCGGTGACCTCAGGGAAAGATCCCACTGAGCTGAGTTTCCAACTTGTGAAAAAACAATTAAGGAAAGGCTTAGAGCCTGGTGTGGTGGTGCACACCTTTAATCCCAGCCCTCCAAAGGCAAAGATTGACAGATCTGTGCTTCTCCTTCTTTCCTGCCTCTCAAACACCTCTGCATTCATCCTGGTGGCATTGGGGACTTCAGTGTGTCACACAGTACACCCTTTTGTTCAAAAATCCTTCCTTGCACATGTCCATTGCAATGAGTCACTGGCCTGGTTCAAGGCCTCTGGTTTCAGGTACACCATTATCACTGATACTCACTCAAACTTCTCTCAGACATCCTACAGCTTCCCTTAGTCGTGGGGATCCTAAGGTCATTATTCCACAGGACCAATCCCTTCAGAAGCTCTAGCAGGTCCTCTATGGGATAGTTATTAGAGTAGGCCAACCCCAGGTCTGGCTGTAGACCAAGGTGATAGTTGTGCTGGTCACTGAAGCTGCAACCCTCAGAGGGTTGCAGAGTCAACTCTCCTATGCAGTTCTCTCATTAAGGTTGGGGTCAGTTCTCTTGTTTTAATGTTCAGCAAGGGACAGAGTGAGCCACTGAGGGAAAGCAAGGGACAGGAACAGTAAGCTCATCATGGCCCTTGTTTCAATCACAAATGGTTCCTCATGGCTCTATGATACAACACATACCGTAGACATCAACACAGACCCTCAATGTAAAAGAATCAGAGACCCAGACATGGTTACTAGCTACAGCCCTGGCCCAGATTGTTGAAGGAGAAAGCAGCTTGTTTGTTTCTGGCCACAAAGCCGTGAAATAATAATACAAAAAATGTATTAATTTAATCACTGCTTGGCCCATTAACTCTAGCTTCTTATTGGCTAACTTTTATATCTTAACCCATTTCTGTTAATCTTTGCATCACTATGAGGTCATGGCCTATTAGCAAAGTTTCAGCACATCTGTCTCTGGTGGCTCCATGGTTTCTCCTGACTCTGTCTCCTTTCTCCTAGCATCCAATTTAGTTTTCTCCACCTACCTTTATTCCCTGCACAGGCCCAAGATATTTTTTTTTATTATTGACCAACAGTATTCACATGATACAAAGGGGAATCCCACAGCTCCAGATATCACCATGATACTGGATAGCAACGTGGCTCTTAAGTCTGTATGATTCCAGATGCAGTATGGCTTTGGACACCAACATGGTCCCAGGGCAACCACACAGATTTCAGTTGCAACAGAAGTCACAGGTATCAACTAAGACGCTGACTGCTTCAGGACCATATATCAAGACATTGCCCTTGGCAGCAGCTCCAACCTAGCTGGCACTATAATCCCTGGATAGTAGTGTAGGCAGACCACCCAAATCAATGTGACTCTGGCAACAGCATGGCTCTTGAATACGTACAGTGCCACCAATTGTAACCCAGAGAGAGGGCATTTTTGTGGCCTTTGTTGGCAATATGAGCCATAGTTGACCACACAGTCCCTGGTTGTTGTAGAACCATGGACCCAGACATGGCGCTTAGCAGGAGCGCAGGCCTGAACATCACAATGGCTAGGGAAGTGGGGGGCTAGGAATGCCTCCTCTCAACAGCCTACTACTCAATGCTTTCACATCTCCTGTTCTACCTCTTTCTATAACACACAAACCATTTTGCTTCTTGTTTGCCTCCCGTTGTCAACCACATCCCTACTCTTCATAAAGGGACCCACCCACTCAGCACCCAGAGGCACAGGGTGGGCCTACGGATGTTTTTATACTAGTTTAGGTTGTGAGCACCCAAGCTGGGCTATGGATGGCTTTCACCTGTGTAAGCCACAGGGCATCAGTGGGGCTATGAATATATCTACCTAACAGCCTGGGCTCTGCTTTTGATTGTTACCTTTACTGCCTAAATTTGGTTTTCCTGAAGCAAGTCTCTTGGTTCCTCAATTCCAGAGATCCATCAGCCTCTGATGTGGGATTCTGATGTGGG